ACAGACTGTTATGCATCAGGAAAACAACCCCAAAACTTCACTTGTTTAAAACAACAAAGGTTTATTCCAAGTTGGGAGGGGTCTCCTTATTCAGGCTGATGGAGTCTCCTCTACCTGGGCAAGAGAGAAGGAAACATGACAAATTGCCTATTGGTTCTTATAGATTGCATTCAGAAATGAGATATACCACTTCCACTCATGTTTCATTGGCTAAAGTCACATGGCCACATCTGATTTCAAGAGGTAGGATGAGCTATCCTACTGTACACAGGAGAAGTATTCCAGAATTACTGAAGAACACTGATAAATATCAAACATAGCAGTTCACAATTTTTTCTGAGATCGTATTTTTTTATATCGGCCTTCTCTTGAATTTGCTTTCAGTAAATTTTAAAGATTAGAAAGATTTGCTTGGTTAATGGAATGAGTAAGCTACACTTTTTATGATTATAGAAAGTATAATCTTCCTGAGGAGATGGAGATTGGATTTTATTCTCCGAATGTGTTAGTATTTGTATGTCATTACTGGATGATTAAAAAAAAAAAAATCATGACCTCTCAAAGCCTTGTTTGTATAGCCTATGTTATTCTAAATTAGTGATTTGAGAAGTTTGTTGGACCACTAGCAAATTCCCAGAATGCAAGTAAAGGGTCAACAAAACCCTTCACATCTCTTTGAAATCAAATTTTCTCATATAAAAATTTTTATATATACTTCAACCAAGACCACAGATCGTAAGAAATTGAATGCAGGGCAGACATAAGAATCCAGTCATCTGGTATTAAGTCATAAATTAAAGAGATTTGCAAAAGAAATTAGTTATAAAAAAAGAAATAGGGGAATATATAAATAATTTTAAAATACATTTGTATTTTATGTTAATATTTAGTGGGTAATTGTTATTTTTTTAAAAATAATAAATATATATAATTAAAATATTTTAATACGGTGAATATTGACAGATACAATCTACATGGGGTTCTCAATAATTTTTGCTTTAGTTTTTTTTGAAATAATTATTTTCAATAATTTTTAAGAATTTAAGGGTTCTTAAAAACAAAAGGTTTGAGAACCACTGTATTGGATGAATACTTTACTTGATAAATTTCAACTTAATCTTTCAAAGGATAGAACTTCCAAATAACATTTTCTCTGTGAAGATTTTAAGGATCAATGAGATAATTATAACTTGTATTTATGTACATAAGAAGCATACATTATGAAAACTCATCTGTGTTAATTTATTTTTGTACTGCTTACAAAAGTACCTGAGAGAGGATGAACTTATAAAAATAGAGATTTATTTAACTCGTGATTCTAATGGCTAGAAAGTTCAAGGCATCAAGCAGGTCTGCATCACAACATTTTTAACAGGAGTATAGCAGACACCTGCAGAGAGCTGAGGGCACCTCTCTCTTTTATAACAACCTGCTTTTGTGAGAACTAACCCCTTCTCATTAAAGCAAGAAATCACTCCAATCTCTCAGAAAACAGCATTCAGCCATTCATGAGACAGCACCTCCACTGTCCAATCACCAAGATCTAATCACTGCCCTATAAGACCAAATTCTAAAACATGAATCTTTGAGGGACAAACCATTATCCAAGCCATAACATCACCCCATTGCTGGGAAGGATAATTTGATCGATCTACATTTTAACACCAAATAAACTGCATATTTGGATTACAAATGAGTATGTTCAGTTCATCTATTGAGTCATACTTGAGAATAGAACTAGTCAGTAAATGAGGATACAATAAAACTCACCTAAAATAGGTTAAAATTAAAAGAGCAAATTTATATATACTCTCATATATCAAGAAGTCCAGATGTTAAACATATTCACAGGTGGCTATTCCATAGGCCCAATGGATGAAAAATATTTCTAGTCTCTATATTCTTCCTCTCTGCAAATTTTAGCATCTTGGCTCATATAAACTGTTTTCCCGGATGAATCCTAAATTCTGACATCAAAAGCTACCATACATGTTGGGAGAGGTATAACATGGAGACATGGAGTGTTTCCTCCCTTGCTTTCCTTTTTGGTAATGAAAAAGACTTTTCCCAGAAGCCACTTGCCACCCTAACACTGACTCTTTTTCAAGTATCCTAGGTTAGAATTGGGTCATAAAACTGCTCAAGCCAGTCACTGGCAGGGGAAATGAGGTTAACATGATTGGCAGCCAAACATGATTCTTTCTTTGTAGTTGAAGAAAGACTCAGTATTTCCAAAAGCACTTGACTTCGTGATATCTATACAACATTGTTTTTTTGTTTAGCAAGAATGATAGTGGGGCTGAGAAGTAACTATGGGATAGGAACCCAGTTATGTTTTACACAATCACAAGTGGAATGTCTCATTGCAATAACTAAGACTATCATGGAATAGTGAATAAAATTCAGAGTTTTATAAACATCATTATTTATCTATTTTCTTTTTATCAGTAGCCATTGAGATCCTAATGCATGCTTAACAGCATTACAGAGGGGTACTCTTGTTTTCTTAAATCTTCATAATTCATTACTAGTTTTCAGTTTCCTCCAAATCCTCATATATTCCATTTAATCCTAACGAAAAGTCAGTTCTATTCACACTACTACATTTTTATTGCCTTACTTAAGTTACCATGTACTTGCCATTGGCAACAGATTATAATCTCTTGGGTTTGTTGTTGTTGTTGTTTATTTGTTTCTTTTTAAAATTTCATACTCTCAGTTAAAATTTGGATCTCCCATTAAATTGGGAGGCATTTACATATTTAGAGAATGTAAATTTCTGGGGCCAGCAGGTGGTGTAGTGGTTAAAGTGCTGGACTCCTACAAAGTTTCCTGCAGTTCAAATCTTGGACCTGGTGGCTTGAAACTCATGCCAGCATATGTGCATGCATGCTCCCAATCCTAGGAATTGAATGGAGAAGAAGGGACTGTGGCATGGCCATCCCTCTGGTGTGGAAGGAAGGGGATTTCTCACTTTCTCTCTCTCTGTTTCTATTTCTCTAGTAAGCACACATATCCTATAGCAAAAATCTCTCAAAATAAGTAAAAGAATATAAAATAAAGAATATAAATTTCATTCTGTAATCCAAGTAATTCTATAATCCAAATTAATAATAAAGTCAGAAATAAATATAGGAATATATTGGGTTGTTGGAAAAGTCATGACATATTTTTCTATGCAAAAATGCATCATGACTTTTCTAATGACCCAATATTATCTAATATGGCTTTCTTTCTCTGAAATAACCCACATGCCAGCTGTCTGGTTTCCTATTAGTAGTATGAGCCAACCAGGACAGGGAGATATTTTCTGCTATGATTTTACTTTAATAGGAATAATAATTTATAGATCATTTAGATAGTGATCCTCTGTAATTTTCCTGCCGGATCTCAGCCTAATTGTCATCACTTTTGAGGCCATCCCTGACCATTCCATTTAAAAAGGGCTTCCTAATTTATTGCTCTTCTATTTCTGTCTATAGAACTCTTGCAAATCTGTAATTATCTCCCTCGTGTATTTGCTTATTTTCTGCCTCCAACTAGAATGTAAGCACTGTGAGAACTGGAAAACAGGTTGGTGTTACCCTACAGTCTGTGATCAAAGCTTAATCCAGTGCCTGGTTCATAATAGCTGATCAATAAATATTTGTTAATTGAATCTAGTTTTTTGAATCATATCTCATAAAATATGTCATATTCTAAAAGAAAAATTCAAAATGAATTTTGGTATTTATCATTGTTTGGCCAATGATGTTTAGTAATATAGGATGTTACATTTGTATACCTAGTGGATATTTAACATTTTACTTGGTGGATATTTAACATATGCCTAGTGGGCATTTAGCATAAAGTATCAGATGTGGAGAAGCATGGTAAAATATAGTTTAAAACAGCCCCATCTCTTGTTATGTCAAATAGAAACATTTTTATATATGAGGAGGGTTTTCAAAAAGCTCATGGAAAATGCATATTATGAAAAGGCCGTGCATGGATTTCAAAATTTTTTGCATGAAAATAAACTCATATTTTAGTTTCTTTGTTCATGAAATTTTTGAAATCCCCTTGTCCTATATTTTCACTTAAATAATTCAGTAAGTATAAAATATTAACCTATTTGGGGCTAACATACAAGTTAAAAAAATGTCTAGAATGCAGCCATCAAAAACCCTCCTAGTTAATTTGTCCAATACTGAATTTCTGAAAATTTTTTGTTTCTTCACTATACCTTGAATGGAACAACCTCTCATGAACTCTCAGTATGGTTTAATAATATACATCCAATGCTCATTAGTATATGGAACATGAAATATTTTAGGCCATTAAATAGTATAATTTATTGTTATTAACCAACTAAGGCAGTTACATGAAGAGCACAACCAAACCTGTCTGTTTTCAATGGAGATATTCCCATGTATGAGTGTGATTAACACAGACTTGCTAAATCTCGCTGAGCCATCTGTGAGCACCTTCTTGGTTTAAAACAACACACATTAGCTCTGCTCAGTTCTGAGTCAGTTTTTGCCACAACTGTTATCTTTATCCCAAGCCTGGGAAGATTCTCAAAAGCCTGAAGGTTTTAAAATGCCACTTTTCACTAAGAATCTGATCCTTAAACTGAAAAACAGTTTTTCTTAAAATCAGTAACTCAAATGAGATTTTATTGGCATAAAATGTTGGCTATGGAAGTTCTAATATATTTGTAAGGAAAAGAATAAGAGTATTTCAGCTTATTAGTGAGTTTAGAACATATTCATATGTTTAACCTTCTAATAATCCTAAGTGAAATTCCTAATCACTGAACTCCTTTGCTTGATCTTTAATTCAACCTCAAGTTAGAGTGATGCACACGGTCCTTCTATAGACGCCTCAGTGTGAAGTCCTGCTTATGGCAAATAAGTAGTAGCAGAAAGTTTTTGACAAAGGCCTGATAAATGGTGCATTCCATAGTTTGGAGACCACAGATCCAATACAGTCTTTTCTAAAGAACTTGTGCTGACCACATGAAACAGAACATCCACATGGAGCTTCTGGAAGAAGGCACTGCAGCAAAACTACTGCCCCGAGATCAGTGGCCAGTGTAAGCACAATGTATGCTTTAAAATACACTCTAGTGTTGTGAGACGGTGCAACAATCATTTTCTCTACCAAAGATTCATGTTTTTAAACACCTGTAAGTCAGAAACATTTAAAAAACACTGGATTCTGACCGTGGCTTTTAGTGTTTCAGGCTCGGATTCCACATAGTTAAGAATTGATCCTTAGGCCCAGCCATGGCGGCACAAGCAGTAAGGCTGCTGCTGCATGATGCTGAGACTATTTAGGAAGCTTTGGGTCTGTGTCCAGGTTTGTGTCCATGTTCATATCCAAGTATCCATATACTTTAAACAAATTTTTTTAAAGAGTTTTTGCCTGAGGGAGGGTCCACTCACTGGAGAGAGAGCGATAGAGACAGTGAGAAATCATCCCCCAAGGGGGAAGACCATGCTGCAATCCCTTCTCCTCCATTCTCCTCCCAGGATCTTGGACACGCACACACATGTGCCTGGCGTGATTTTCAGGTCACCGGGTCCAGGACTCAAACCGCAGTTGGCCATGTGGGAATCCAGCAATGTAACAGCTTATGCCATCTACTGGTCCCCATTCTTACCCAGGTTTATTTTGGTATCTTTGTCAAGGTTTGTGTCTGAGTCCAAGGTCTAGTTCCTGTCTGGGTCTGTCTGAAGATGCCTATATGTCTGTCAATGATCCTGGCTGGCTGTGGAGTTGTGGGGAAGATTGTGGTATGAAGCTTCTCTTGAGGGTGTCTGTCTCTCCCCCTACCCACATTCCTCACTAATGAAATAAATAAACTTAAAAACGTATCAATTCTTTAATGTTACATGAAGGTTTTTATATTGAGCTATACTTTACATGTCATAAAATTTACCCATTTTAACTGTACAAGCTAATGATGTTTAGTATATTTATAGGCTTGTGCAACTATCATCATGATCCAGTTTTAGAACATTTCTAACACCCTTCAAAAAGATCTCCCATAGACGTTATCTTTACAGTTGCACATTCACTTTTTTTACTTGTTTTCTGCATGAAAACTTAATTACATAATTGAAATACAATACCAAAAATATTAATAAATTTTACTCATTGGGTTCAGATGCAAGTGAATAATGAGCCTGGAAAGGAGTACATTGTATATAACAAATTTTCAAAAAAGAAATCAAGTGGGGGCCAGCAGATGGCATAGTGGTTAAGGCGCTGGACTTTCATGTAGTCGACCATAGTTTGAGTCCCGGTTCTAGCAGCTCGAAAGTCATGCAGGGTGCATGTGCATGTGTGCCCAAAATCCCAAGATGATAATGGAGGAGAAGGGATTATGGAGTGGCAATCCCCTCTGGGGGACGATTTCTCTCTTTCTCTCTCTCTCTGTCTGTGTCTCCAGTGAGTGCACACCCTATAGCAAAAGTCTCTCTCAAAAAGAGAAAAAAATGGAATCTAACTAATTAGGTATTACAGTTTTCCTTAGATAAGATGAGCAAAGTCATGAATAAGAAAGCATGTTTCTGAACTGAGACTAGCCTTGCTCTTGTTACAAGCAAACCAGGCCTTATTCAGAAGGCACATGGTGGCGATAGCTGCTGTGAGTCATGATACTCCCCTCTTCCTTCACACCTCTGTTTTTCACCTCTGTTTCTAAGTGGGGAGGAAGTCATACCCTGGCTGAGGTCATCCTGTCTGTTGTGGAGTGGGGCAACGCCAGGTCACATTCAAAATGAGAACCCACTTCAAGCTCTGATATTTCTCCTTGATTACTATTTTCTGGATAATATACAAGGGGTCTTCAAAAAATTCATGAAAATGCATATTACAAAACGTCTCTGCATGAATTTCCAATTTTTGGTTAGCAAAGTAAAGTCAAACTTCAATTCTATTTTTTCTGCAGATTTTTTAAAAGTCCCCTCATAGAAGCTCATATTCAGTTTTAAAATGCAGTCTTGATTTCTTTCCTTCTTCCGTTTCAGGGACCATCACCTAGCACTCTTGCTCCAGGGTACTCTTCCTTTCTGACATTTTATCATCATGCAAAGGTCCAAAGTTGTAAAAATAAAAGCACATTAGGTACACATGAATCATGTGTAAGGTCAATTTATGATGTTTTAGCAAAATAAAAAGCTTTGTGGCTTAGATGTTAATTAGAATGTAGCTCCATGAAAGTTTGGAGGTTTCATCTGCTTTTTTCATTGATACATATCAAGATTCTTGACTCGCATCTAGCACATAGTAGCTGTTCAGTAAATATTTGTTGAATAAATTAAGTTTAAAAAAAAACTTTTTTGAGAGGTTTTTGCTATAGGGCGCGTGCGCTCGCCAGACAGACAGAGCCAGAGAGACAGAAAGCGAGAAATCACCCCCCAGGGGGGATGGTCATGCCGCAATCCCTTCTCCTCCATTCTCCTCTCGGGAACTTGGGCATGCACGCACACGCGCCCGGCATGAGTTTAAGCCACCGGGTCCGGCACTCGAACTGCGGTCAACTACGTGGCAGTCCAGCGACATAGCCATTACGCTAACTGCTGGCCCCTAAAAATATTTTTAAACCTAATAATAGATTATGTAGATTGGTTTACCTCATTGATGTGTTAGGAAAAGTGTGTTGATATGTTATATAAAGCACATATTTAAAATGTACTAATTGAACTTTGTATAAAAATCTAAAATCTAAACTGGAACATGAACAAGTTATACCTTAGATGATATTATTTTATAATTCTGCATTTCTTTATATTTATTTTGCAAGAGTTTATGTCCTCATACTGCATAAATCTTGTTTAAGAAGTATGTATATCAGGACCAGCAGATGGCATAATGGTTACATCATTGGACTCCCATGTAGTCGACCGTAGTTCAAATCCTGAATCCAGCTGCTTAAAACTCAAGTTGGGTGTGAGTCTGTGCATGCTAAAAATCCCGAGGGGAGAACAAAGGAGAAGGGACTGCAGTGTGGCCATCCACCCGGATGGGGTGGGGTGGGGTGATTTCTCACTTTCTATCTCTCTGTCTCTCTGGTGAGTGCATGTACCCTACAGCAAAAAATTCTCTGAAAAAAGAAAAGAAAAAAATGTAAGTGTATCTGGGGCCAGTAACTGATGTAGTGGCTAAGGCACTGAAAATTGTACCAGGTGTGAGCATGTGCATGCCCAAAATCCTGAGAAGAAAATGGAGAAGGGACTGTGGCCATTTGGGAGGTCATTTTTCACCTTCCCTCTCTCTCTCTCTGGTGAGCACACTCAACTATGGCAGCCCCCACCACAAAAAAATGTGTGTGTATATCTGTTCTAAAATAGTAAATATTATGTCCGCAAAAATGACTGGTCGTCAGGACCAGCAGATAGTGTAATTGCTACGTTGCTGGATTCCCATGTAGTCGACTGTGGTTTGAGTCCTGGACCCAGTGGCTTAAACTCATGCTGGGCACGTGTGCATGTGTGCCGAAGATCCCGAGAGGAGAATGCAGGAGAAAGGATTGCAGCATGGCCATCCACCCTGGGGGAGATTTCTCGCTTTTTGTTTCTCTGTCTATCTCTGTCTTTCTGGTGAGTGCGCATACCCTATAGCAAAAAAACTCCCCCCCCCCAAAAAAAAAAATTACTGATTGTTTTCTTCCATTCTTCGGTCACAGCTTGAAATTACTATTCCCCATTCATGATTTGGCTAAGAGATACCATATTTGATGGAAACTTGATAAACTTGCAGGAAACAAACAAACAAACAACAACAAGAACAGTGTTTTGTCCTTGGTCACATTTAGAAATCAGCTTCAGGGTCTGTAAAGGGGCCAGGTGGTGGAGCAGTGGTAATGTAGGTGGAGCCACATGGCAAAGGTCCTGGGTTGCATGCAGAGGTCTCCCTGAGCATGTTGGGTACACACACTGGTGCCCATAATCCAGCCGACTGAGACTAGAGGTGGGACATGGCGTGAAGACTCTGCGGTGGGTGCCTGAGTCTCTCTCTCATGGAATAAATATTAGGTCATCAGGAAAGTCATGACATATTTTTCTGGTTCTCAATTCAAAAATGCTTCATTATTTTCCTAGCAACCCAATAAATTACTTTAAAAATGCAGGGTCTGCCTATACAGCAACAAACATATATATTTTTAAAGATCTGTGTAAGTAAGTGGCATAAACAGAATAAACATAGAAATGGTTTGGTATCTAACATTTCTAATAATCCATATTTCTAGTTCTCAGTCTATCTAAATTTGATCGAGTATGAAGCTTGCCACATTTGTACTAATTGTCTCTCCTTTTTTTAAGTAAAGCATTCCTTCTCCCTCAATTTTAAGACAACTGCTGTTCTCTCAGGTTTATATATATCCCATTATCACACTCTACCCCTCTCTTCCCTACGCAGTGCTAGGTGTCCTGATTCACCTTGCTTCTCAGGTATTCCTGGACGAGGAATATAGTCATCACTGATTTGCCGTCTCTAACCGCATGAGGTTTCTCCCCAGGGGTATTGATCTGATGTCTCCCTTCCTCTTGGGGGATCATGAACCATCATCTAGTCCCCTCTCTCTAGAGGTCTGTCCTCTCCTGCCTCTTCTCCTCATCTCATAAAAACACTTTTGTCTCTTGCACCCTAAAAACAAGACCCTTGCACTGACCTGGCATTTCCTTTCTATCTTTTATCCTCTCAGGATGGTTGCCTCAATTCACTGTTTTCATTTCTTCACTTTTAATCTACAACTCAACTTTCTATTAAAAAAAAAAAGCTTCTATCCCCATACACTCAAACGATATGTTCTAAAGACATGCGTCACTCCTTAGATGCCAGATCCAATGAACGTGTGCCCTTATCTTATTTGACCTCTTGTTAGCACTTAATACCTTAGACCTCTCCTTCCTAGATGGAATTCTTTCATGGAATTCTTTCCACCACACTGGCTTTGCTGATTTACCTTCTACTACTCCTTTCCTCTTCAGTGGGGTGTTTTTGTTTTTGTTTTGTTTTGTTGTTTGTTTTTATTTTTGTTTTTGTTTTTTGCATACCTTCTTGCCTTGCAATCAAATGTTGCTTTCCAAAGCTCTGTCCTGAGTCCTGTATTCAAGCTATAGAATTTCCCTGGGAAAATGAATCACTTCTGTAGCTTTAATTACCACTTCTTTGCTAATAACCCCCACATTTAGATCTATAGCCCTAAACTCTCTTCTGAATCCAAGGCTTCATATCTCTGGTTGTTCTCTGGATACTCTCTCCGGCTATGTGTCGCTAAGCCTTCTGAAATCCACTAGATTTCTTTGAGTCCCTTTCCTTGGGGAGACTGTATTATTTGTGCAGAAAGGAAAGTGAGCTGAACAGTCAGTAGCAGAGAGGTAGTCTATGATACTCTTTTATGCTCTTTATTCTGTTTCTGTTTCTGCTCTTTCTGAGCACATGGTAGAGCTGCATTTTCCTGTTCCTTGGAAAACAGGTGTGTCATATGACTCGTTTCAGGCAAAGAGATGTATTGGACATGATGTGTATCACTCCCAGGCAAACATCTTTGAAAACTGGCAAACAATTTTTTCTCTGCTAAGACAAGTGGCAACATTCCAGAGGGAAGGGATTCCATCAACTTGTATCCTTACTTGAAGATGATGTGGAGCAGATCTTCCACTAATCAAAAATGGGCATATAGTATTAGTGAGAAATAAACCTTTGCTATTTTAAGCCAGAGTTATTTATTATGGTCATACATATAGCCCAGCTCATCCTGACTAATTGAAGATCCAAAACCAAATTCATTATTTTTTCCCTGCAGACCACAGCGTAAAACAATGTAAGAGTATCTCGCCTGTCTTTTTCCTATGGTTTCTGTTGTCTGCCTTTATTTGAGCCTTCACTATCTATCCACTTTCCTAGCCTAAAAACTTGAGAATGTATCTAAATTCAATAATTTCTTTTTTTTTTTTTTTTTTGGCCAGAGGGCAAGTGTGCTCTCTTGAGAGAGAGAGACAGAGAAAGAAAAAGAGAAAGTGAGACAGCACCTCCACGGTGCATATCATGCTACAGTATCTTCCCCTCCATTTCTCCCTCCTCTCAGGATTTTGGGCATGTACACACATGCACTGATGTGTTTTTCAAGTCACTGGATCCAGGGCCCAATCTGTACAGTTGGCCATGTGAGATTCGGCGTTAACCACCACTTTTATGTCCAATCACATTTTACAACTCAGGTTCTATACATTTTATTTATTAAGTATCCTTCAAATCTACCTGCTCATCTCTATTGTTATATATGCATCTTATTATGTACTGCCAATACTGTTACAAGGTATTTTACATTGTCTCCTTCACTCTAGTACTGGATTTTCTTAAATCTGTCTTCCAAATGGCTGCCAGAGGGCTTTTTATAATATAAAATTAAAACTTTGACCATACCACTTTCATGCTTCAAATCTTTCAGCAGTGCTTGCAGAATAATTAAGTCAAAATGTCTTAGGATTGTATATTAGGCTTTTTTTTTTCATTTTTTAATCTTTAAATATTTATTGAAATTTATGATTTACATATAATTGCATGTTAGGCTTTTAAAAGTCCAAGCCCATTCTACCTCTTCTGTCACATCCCATTCCTTCTCCTCCCACTCCTTCACTATGTACACAGACAATACTATTCTTTGACTGATCCTTCTAGAAATCTTGATATAGGATTCCTTTACTATAAGAAAGTCTTTTTGGTTGTCCTAAAGAGACTTAAGTCTCTTCTTTGTGTCACTTCTCTGCCTAAAGTGTACATTTGCCATTGAATATACCACTTTTTCAAAATCTTTGCTTATGTGGCCATTGTAATGATTGAAATTTTCTTGGGAATTGAGGTAATATCTTATTCACTATTATATTCGGAAAGGACAGTAGTTAGCACATAAATACCTCAAATATGTTTGTGGGACTGATATTACAAGCCATACCAACCATGTAACATTATAAAGGGCTGATAATTATTAAGTAGCTTAAAACACCTGTTGAGGACTTACTATGTACAGGCACTGCAACACCTATTCTACGAGCTTTATTTTATTCAGCCTAACCATAGTTCTAGTGCATTGAGACATAAACTAGGTCTCTACTTTACAGATTTTATTATCTGTATAAGACAAATCATACATCCCTTCTTGGCATGGAGATCATTATAGGTCTTTAGATGGATTATTTTTTTCATGCAGTAACTGAATACATAGCAGAGGCACTCTTGACCTTCAACATTTCATCTACAACTTTTAGGAGAGCGTTCAGCTCCATTGTTTAAAATATTGTGAAAGAACTTATAACATGGATATATCATCTTTCCTTTTAAACATAACGTTTCTATCAACTGTAAAGGGCTTCTGTTGTGAGAGGTACCTCAAATAGAAGAATAGGTCACAGGGAAATTGTCCTTGTCTCAGGCAACTTTCAAGATTTTATTACCACCATCCCCGAAGAATTTTTAAATTATCATTGAGTGACAAAATTCCAAGTAGTGACAAAGGCATATAGATGAAACTCTTATCACTGGGAGATATTGATAAGATGGGAAAAATCACAAAGGTATGAGCAGATACATTCGGCTCATGCTGAAATCACATGAGGGCAGTCACTGGCCCTCTACGGTAGGTTACTCAGTCTTTTATAATTCATCTTCTGTTACCAATTATTTTCTATTATCTTCAAATAATATTAGGCAGAGATATGAGCCTAGTTTATAATACATTTTTTAAAACCCCTACATTCCTTTCTTAAGGAATTCTTCTATTTATCCATTTTTCAATTTTTTTTTGCAGAACGATGAATTCCCTTTCATTTCAGTTCTCTCCTAGCTTTTAGAACACGAGCTGCAGAAACAGTTACATTCGCCACAGGCCAAGAAGCCGTAAGACTCGGGAGTCAAGCAATTATCAATCATTTGGCCTTTTTGCAGAAATACACAAAACGTGTAGAGTCGCTTAATTTTATCGCCTCCTAGCCTCTTCACATGGAAATTGGCTGCTCGGGCGAATGTTGTTTTTCACCGCAGCCATGTGTCGAAAGACGATTAACACTCGTTCCGCGAAATCCTTTCCCCAGCCATTTGGGAGTTGCACGCGTTCACACCCGGGTCACTGCAGCCCGGTGCGCCTTCACGCGCAGCCTTTTTGTTTATGCGGCTAGCTGGGGATAGAGGGGCGGGCCTCTAAACATGCTGCAGGGCGCAAGGGCTATATAGACCTCTGGTCTCCGACCTGGTGGCAGGGGCCTGGATTGCCCGCGAAGGCCGACTGGGCCATGCGATGGAGACCGCGGAGCGCCGAGCCTCAGACCAAGCGCGCCCGCAGCCTCCGGCCGCCCCGGACTGCGCCACGCGGAGTGGGGGCGCGAACTCCGGGTAAGGCTCCTCCGCGCTGTTCTGCGCCTGCCCCAGCCGCTAGTCCCTCCCGCCTCCAGCTCCTCCCTCAGCCTTCCGCCACTCCCCACCCAGGCCAGCGCTAGGCTTGTGTGCCTTCTCCCTGGTCTGGGCTCACGTCTCCTCCGTGCGCCTGGGTGTGCCCCATCCCGCAGATCCGCAGGCTTCTGGAGACCGTGGGTTGACTCGCGAGGCAAGAAAGAGGTGCAGCACCGCGCGGCGGAGGCGGTGAGTGAGCCCCGAGTGGTCGGCCTGCTCTCGAAGGGTGCAGACGGTCTACCAGGGCTGGGGACGCGGTACCTGAGGGAGACACGCACCCCTGCCTGCCCCTCACTTCAGACCTAGCCTGCCGATGCGACGCGGCGAATGTGTCCTTCGAAGCCACTGAGCCACACCGATCTGGCAGGAGGAGGCGGCTGGGCTCTCTGCAGTCACATTCCAAGCGGGCGCGAAGAATGCTGGGTCGCACACAATACCAGTTTCTAGTGGGACGTGGGTGGTAGCTGCGATTCATCTCCTTTTGTCCCCAGATGCCTGATAGCCCTGACGTGACCGAAGCCTCAGGAAAGCTTTCCCAATTCAGACACCCAGTCAGGTGAGTGACAGGCCTCACTGAGGTCTCTCGCTCCTCTGGTCCCAGGCAGGAGCCGGGCTGTCACAAAACCCAGCCCAGCAGCTGGTTCTACCGTTTTTCTTGCTTGGAAAAATCTGTCTTCAAGGTTGCTTTGTCTCCCCACTCACAGAGGTCCTTACTCATCAAACTGAAAAAATGTGGGCGCTCACGTGCTCCCCTGAAAGAACTGTTCCTTAGTGCCTACTCAGTAAGTGCCCAAGGAATGTAACACGGAGAGAAAGTGGATGGCAGGACAGTCAAAGTAGAATGGTGGCGTCTTGTGTCTGCAAAGCTCATTTTTTGTTTTTGTTTTTAATCGTAAAGAGTCGTGAAATTGACTGCACACCAGGTAGAGTATGTCTGTTGTCATTCTCTTACACCCAGAGAGAAGAATGAGCTTCATAGTGCAGTTTTACAGCACATCAAGGTTGACAAGTAAGAGAAAATGGAAAATCCTGAAGATTTCTAAGAATGATTTTCCGGAAGGGGGGAGGCTAGGTGGGAGTATGTGGCAAAAGTTATTTAACATAACAGGAAAGAGCTAGTTTACTGTTCCTAGTCACAGAAAGTCAGCCTTTCTGTAATAGTCTTTATAGACTTTATGCAGGTGAAAGGTTAATAATTCTGCAGTTTTCTTGCCTTAACGAAAGGTTCCATGAAGAGGTACGTGATGTCGTAAAGTGTGTGTTTATAAATAGCTCATAGTAGTGAATACACATTCCCTGTGCTAGCACTGGTGATGGACACATACAAAATCACAATGCATGTCAATAATAACCACAGCACATCCTGCTAGGGGATGTGGTCAGGGAAATGGACAGGTTGTGGTTATTGGCTGAGTCTTGAAGAAGTTAGCCAGATGGATAAGAGGTCCGGGTAGAAAATAATAATAATAATAACATAGAGAAAGAGATTCAGGTTTGGTGAAACAGCATGGCTCTTTCTGGGAATTCCAAGGAACTGGAATTTAGGTGTGTGAAACTGTGGTCATTCCAGCATGGTAGCCGGAGACGGTATCTGGTACACCCTGGTACTGAGTTTTGGGATCTATGGGCTTTATTTTGTAGCTGGTATTAGAGATCACTCAAAGGATTTTAACCAGAACACTGGTGCAATCTGATTTATGTTTCAGAAAAATCAGCTATTAAAAAATGGTATATAGGCTTAGTTGTTAGAGTACCAAAGGTAACATTGGAAGCTTTTGCAATTGTTCAGGTAAGAAATGGTGAAAAGACATTGGAAGTAGAGATGGGACTGGGTGAATTGGAAGTACTAAGGTAACAAAATATATTTGACTTAACAATGTATTAGATATTGTAGGTGAAAAAGTCAGAATGATTCCCAAATTTGTGGTTAGTAACCAGGAGAATGCTGTACTAAGAGAATGGAAATTGGGATTCAAAAACTTTGAGAATCAAGATAATGAGTCCATATTCAGTACTGAATGTACCTATGGGGCTTTCAAATAGTGATATCTGGTAAAGAGAAGCTTCTAGAAGTCGAAGGCCAAGAGTCAAAATCTTAAGTGGGAATACAGACTTGGGAGCCTGTGGTCAATGAGAGGTTGATAAAATCATGGCAGGGGGTGAGGCCATTCTAGGGAGTGTAGAGGGGAGAGATCGGTATTCTCAGTGTAGACCTAGAAGAAGGTCAGCATCTAACTAGCATACAGAGAAAAAGAGGTTCATACAGGAAATTGAGAAGCAGCAGAATAGTAGGAATTCAAGAAAGTATGGATTCCCTGGAGTAAAAATGGTTAATAGTGAGAAATACTCGGCAGAGCATTATAATAGCTAAACAGCATTCTTTGGGTTTGGCAGTATCAAATATACGTTTTAACATAAATATTTTTCCTATTAATAAGCAGTTCTTTTCTTTTCTGAATGGTTAAAATTTAGTTGCACTTCTATTAAGTTTATTTTTATTCATTTATGTGTTGACTAGAATTGTGTTTCTTATTTGTTTTACTCAGTCGTCACACTCTTGACCATGATTTATTTATCTTTGAATTATGAATGAGGTTGGCACAAGAAATCACTCAAATATTTATTGAGTGGCAGATAAATTTCTAGTTATATATATTTATACATCAGAATTAGAGTTTCTAATCTTTGCTATGAACATTATAAACTACATTGTCTATTTTTATGCCTTTTAAAATACAGCATACTAGGGACTAGCAGATGGTGTAATGGTTACCTAACTGGACTCCCACATGGTCGACTGCGGTACGAGTCTTGGACCTGGTGGCTTGAAATGCATGCTGGGTGCATGTGTGTGCGTGCCCAAAATCTTGAGAGAAGACTGGAAGAGAAGGGATTGCAGTGTGGCTATCCCTCCTGGGGGAAGGGGGGGAGTGAATTTTTGCTTTCTTTCTCTCTGACAAGTGCACATGCCCTGTATCAAAAACCTCTCTAAAAAAATGCAGCATACTGAATATAATGTAAACTTTTTTTTTGTTAAAAGCACTCTATTCTATGGATACATGGGGCTAGCCATAGAGCAGAACTTCCTGTACTGAAATGAGTGCATCGTAGTTGGTGATTTTGCTTTTCTCTTCCTTTCTTTTCTTTGGATATGAAAAAGAAAGCCAGATGGCAAGATTAATACTTACCAGATTTTTGAAATTCTGAGGTAATCATGCTTATATGCAAATAAATCTTTTGTATAAACTTATATAATTTTTAATATTTCAGTATGACACTCCCAAACTTACTTGAATGAGGACAAGGGAAAGAAATGTGATCTTAGTTGAATGGGGGCAGGGGAGATAGATGGGATCAAGATGGGAGTCATAGCTAGCCTTCCTATACTTCAAGTTGTGGGTGTACAGAGAAACTTTTTAAAATATTGCTTTTGGGCTGGCACCATGGCCTGCTGGTTAAGGGAGCTGGATTCCACATGCTGACTGTGTGCTTTGAATCCTGACCTTAGCAGGTTAGAAAACATACTGGGTGCATGTGCATGCATGCCCCAAATCCCAAAGTGGTGAAGAAATGGATGAAAAGGGACTGTGGCATGACCATACCCCATTAGGGGACACTTTTTGCCAATTCCAATCTCTCTCTAGTGAGCACACATACTCTCTCACAAACTAAAAGGAAAATACTGCTTTGTGTGGTTTCCTAAACTTCCATGGGGTACATCTATAATAATAGTTAAATCTGTGAGTTTTAAGCAAGGGAGCAAGTATTTCTGCCTTTGTGTAAGTACATAATATTTTGGCTTCTTTATAAAATTGGCTATCATTAGAATTTTTAATGTAGTGGTAGAATTAATTTTTTTGCAAAGAAATTTTGAAACTGGAAGATAAATCTGTATTTTGTGAGAATAAATGTATCCATTATGTTTAAAGTAAACTGAATATTAATCTTTTGTTTACACAAGATTTAGTGTGAATTTGTTTGATTTACATTTTGGATAAATATTTAAAATAATCACCCAGTTATTGACACTTTGGCAAATACACTCCATGAAAACCAATAGTAGTATTTTTAAACTATCTTATGTCTGGGTAGAAATGAATAAACTAGTTTTTAAATAGATGAATCTCTTGAAATTTGACCATTTTATGACTGTAAGGATTCTGAATGTGAAAAAAGTTAAGCATATTATGTTGTCTGCTTCTTTCAGACTATTTTGGCCAAAATCAAAGTGTTATGATTACTTATATCAAGAAGCAGAAGTTCTTCTGAAAAATTTATCAATTCAAGCCACAATTTCATTTTATGAAGATTCTGATAGTGAAGATGAAATTGAGGAGTTGACCTGTGAAAATTAATCTGGTAGTTATTTTGATGACATTCAGAGTTTGTAGGATTTAATTTTAGTGTATAAATGTATCATAGTCTTTTTCAACTAATTTATTTGTATATACATTATTAATAAAATGAAATGCTTTGTAATTACTATAGTAGTTTGGTCTTTTTTATTTATCCCCAACTATAGTTAAATGTGGAATTTAAAATAAATGCTCTTTACAGATGTCTTGATTGGATTATAAATATTTGGGACATACAAAGAATAATTTGGGTCTTTTCATTGAATTACAAATTTAGCTATAGCTATAATTTTGCAAATAATTACAGTATTTAATTTTCAGGATTGAATTTTGTAACATCTGCTATTTCCTACTGATCTCAATTGGATGGTGTTACATATTAACATTATCTTATTATATGATAGAGAAAATTACATTAATATTCACATATTTATTATTATGTGTTTACTAACAGTGAAAACACTTTTAATCATTATCTAGATTTGAGAAAGGGAATCAATCTTAAAGTTCTTAAACATTAAGGATTTTAAATGAATGATGAATAAAGTAGCTATCCCTTCGATACTTGTTCTTAAATCCAGTAATAAAATAGCAAATATTATACTACATTAAGGAATCTCTAGAATTACTACAGAATGTTAAATGATAGTGATTTACATAGAACCTAAAAAACTGAAGTCTGAAGGTTAGAATTTGATAGTGTTTTTCCACTTATGTTCAAGGAGGAGGTAAGAAATTTGGCAGATAAGAAAGATTCTTCAGCATTATCAATTTTCTCTTTACTCTGGTTCCCTGCTCTTGATGGTGTTACATAAACTTTTTCTCATAGTAAATGAAATAAATTCACAATGAGTAGTTTTTCTTACAGAGACTTCTAGAAGAACACATCATCATTTAATGAGATAAAACAGAAGCAATTTGCAAGGTCAAGGTAATGTAGTGAACTATGTGCATGGAGTTCTTTAGCTCACATTCAGTCTTCACAATAACCATTTTGACTACAAATAAAAATCTTCCAAATAGTCCAGAATGATTAGAGGTGAAGGTCAGAGGTCGTTACTGAGCTAAGAAATGCCTTTTACTTGAATGACTACGTATATTCACACACTTTTTCTTGTATCTTAAAAGCTATCATCTCTCTGACTTTCAGGTACTTTACGGATTAGGTCATTGAAATAGTAAAAGTTCAAACCATGCCAGTATGTTCAAAGTCAAGAAGTTAGTAATGAAAGAAGGGTGGAGTGGGTTATTTAGAATTGTTTTGTCTTCTGAAAACTTACTTTTTGTTGAATTCTACTGTGAGGATCTGTGTGTTCTCCAAGGAACACATACAAACACCATCAGGTCACTAATCTGAATCTAGAGCATTAGGGATTGGTGTTTACCTGCACAGTATTTGTGCTTCTGTCGTTAAAGTGTTAAAATAATACAAAGAAACACTGCTGTGTTGAATTTCTGCTACTAGCTAGACAACTACCATGCAGTTTACGTATTACCACTTAACCATGACTAAAACCTAAGATTATTATGCATATGGGGAAAATGAGGCTTTGATATACTACAGTAACTTGCCCAAGACAGCTCTGACTCTTAAACGTAGCTGTTCAATACCATATTTGGGAGTGAGCACAATTCTGAGTCTTCCAGGAAAGAGAGGAGGTTACCTGGTGTGAAATAATTTGTGAGTGCAGGAATAGAGCAGGAGACTTTACTAGCGCATTTTACTCAATTTTCATCATCAGGGAATGATAAAGGTAACATTTTTTTCTTTACTCCACAGGATTTCCTGTTTGTATTTGATACCTTAGCTCTTAGAAGTGTGAGGTTCTTTTCCCTGTATAGCCTAGTGCCTTACTGGAGAGAATTTCGGAGAAGTCAGATTGCTTTAATAGTGTTACTTTACGCTATATTCCAATAGTGAAATGGTACTGTCTAACAATAGACGGGCATTCGCTACAAGAATATATTCTCCGATTCGTTCAGCACCGGGAATGAAGAACAGCTTCACTTTCTTTAAACTTTCCACGAAATAGCTGTCACTCTGTCCAGTGCTGAAAATCGTGGCGCAGGACTAACTGAGCATGCGTACTTCCTGGTTTCACCCCAGCCGGCCCTCCCCTGCCCGTCTCGCTAGCTCCGCCCCCGATAACGTGCTGCGTCACGGCGCGCCTCACCCCCCCTCACCCCCCCCGCGACCCCGGAAGGGGGTCGGGGGGCTTGACCCG